GAGGAAGTGTGAGAAGTAACGCACAAACAAACACACACATACACACAAGAGCCCGCAGAGAGAGAGAGAGAGAGAGAGAGAGAGAGAGAGAGAGAGAGAGAGAGAGAGAGAGAGAGAGAGAGAGAGAGAGAGAGACAGAAATAGATAGATAGACAGACAGACAGAGAGACAGACACAAATAAACATATATATAAATAGACAGATAGACAGACAGGCAAATATATAGATAGACAGAGAAACAGCCAGACTGAGAATGAGATATAGCTAATAATCAAACGAAAATACAAACCGAACAGCTTCTCCCCTCCCCCTCCTTGCTTCCTTCTCCCCCCTTAACCTGCAGTAGTTACACGATTAAACAAAGCATAACGAACCAAGGAAGAGACAGACGCCGAGTGACGTACATCGTAACAGCCACACAAGAAAGTGCATTATGACAAGACGCAACGTAACGTGCGCGGCGGTCCATACCACACGCTAAGCTTGCCTCGTCTCCACGTGGGTTCTGTTAGTCGGAAGTGCCTCGTGTTGTGGTTGTATTTTATTACCTCAAGTTTACCCCGTTTTTAGGAATAAAGTGATTCAAAATTCGTGATACTAAAAACAAGGAGCTTAATAGTAAAAAAAAAAATGGAACTAAATACTTGTTATTAATTACTTGTGTGTATGAGTTTATGTAAGGCTGTAGTCGTAAATGTATTTTATACTCGCGTTTATGAATGTATAACGTGAAAATAAACGCACAAAGATTGCCTCTTTCGAAAAAAGCTAAATGGTTGGGGAAAAATATAGAACGGAGAAATAACTACAGTTCCTCTAATTCGGTAATCAGTAGGCCATAATAACCAGATTTTATAAGAAATTCTAGTTTTTAACCTCTAACCTTTCGTTATAATGGAGATTATGAAAGATTTTTTCCCCCTAAGGTAGGCCAGTTTAAGATCTTAAGGATTGCAGTGGCAGTACAGATTGCAATCATAAGGCAACTGTGTTTCGTATTGCATGGAGACAAAGGGCATTATTTACCCCATTCAGACTGAACATTAGTCAAAGGTTAATTCAAGTTACAGGAAAGAAACTGTTCAAGGTTAAGGCATTGGGTCCGTAAAACACGTAATGGCGCCCCAGCTTTCTCAACAGACGTGTTGCAGTCCATACACCGTGCGACTTTATTATTATCATTTTGTACTTGAACTTTTTTTCCTTTTCCGTTCGGTTTAGAGGTCACCAGAGATCATGCAAAGCGATAAGAAATAAAGATAGAAATGGCATAACGCAAGTCTGCAACGTTCTCTGTCGTTGCTGTCCCGACCCAATAACGGTTACCGGGCGCTTGATTTCTGACGCGGAGATATTACGTATCCACAAAACGCTGCCTGGCCATTTTTCTTTGCCCCGCTGTGTATAATTTATCAACATATGTACGTTTCTATCGCTTCGTTGCCAAGTATTCTTTGCTGCATTGACTCAAAATTGCTTGGCGAGTACATTACGTACTTCGCAATTTTACAGTTGAGATTTTGAAGGTCAAAGGCGTAGCTTTTCTCCATAAATAACAATCATTATCATTACTTTCCTCGTTCATCTTTATTTATTTCTCTTTCCTTTCCTATTTTCCTCATTTCGAGTTACCCACAAAATCAAGCCAAGAACGAAAATACATATATTCATCGTATATGTTCTTCCTTTCAAAACACACGACAAACACGCATTGTGCCACAGAGTATCGCCGTATTAAAATGGACAATCCATCACAAAACCCCTTATCCAGACACACAAATCCCCTATACATAGCAATATCCCGTTACATTAAAAGACACCGTACGATCATTTCATCACAGAGACTCATTCCTAACTCCTCATGACGATCCTCTTTCCAGGTCGAGTTGCCTTTGAGAAACTGACCGAACTGGACTATCGAGGCTCCACGTACTACACCATCAGGAACCTCTCGCTGTGGGAATGCCAAGGATGGTGCAGGGAGGAACCGGAGTGTGCCGCGGCGTCCTTCAGGTGAGCAGCGAGGGAGTGGTGTTGGTATAGTGACCGTGGTGATGGTAATGGTGGTGGTAGAATGTTAATGGTATTTGGGTATTTGGTTATCTGATGTTAATAAGAATGGTAATGGTGTTTTTGATAATGATAGATAATGATGATGACAATTGTACAATAATAGCTGCTTTTGCATAATGATATTCGTAATTTTATGTTAATGGTTCGTTGATAATGCTCATGATTATGATACAGTAATCTTGATTTTATAAATATTGTATTTGCCTTATGTATTCATGTGAAAAACCATTAGTTCAAGTTCACCGCAAGATAAAAAAAAATCTCTCTGAAATTACCGTTGCTAATATTCGATAGAAAAAATTATGCATGTAATTTCCTCCTTCTTCCCCGGTATTTGCTTCCGAGCCTAATCTTCCAACATTAATTACCCTCCCGCCCCCCCCCCCCTCAGGCACACACGTTCGCTCCACCATTCTGTACAAACATAAACCAGAATTAATACTTCATTACCATTCCTATGTTATTATTTATCGAATAATCACTTCCTCTTTTCCCTCCTTTCCCCCCCCCCAGTTTCGTCATGAATCCCCTGGCGCCGGTGCAGGAGACGCTGTGTTTACTTCAGAACGAGACCATGGCTACCAACCCTTCCGCACAACCCCAGCGCGCGGTGTCCCTGTACTATATGGTCAAACTCCACGTCAGGACGAGTGAGTGCATTATTATAATTGTTTGGAGGAAGAATGTAATAATATCCGGTGTTGTTACATGCGGACAGAAGAGGAACGAAGGGAAGGGAAGGAAAGAGGAGGAGTAGGAAGCAGAGTGGTCGAGGAATGTAGTTGTAATTGCAGGTTGGGATGCCTGGGTGGCAAGGCTTGGTCATTGAGGAAAATGGACAATTAGCCACAGGAGTATGTTGTGAAAAAAAATCACGTTTTGGCAATAACAATAAAAATGTACAGTACGTGTTCCCCGCATGCCTAATTAGAAACAAGCGGTAATGTGGTGAGATGTGATCGTTCACGGAACCGAAAATCTCGCTGAATAGAATTTCTTCGTTACGATTTCGATTACCGTCATACGTTTATTACTCCGCGTTTCAGTCATTACCGCGGAGTATTGGGGAAAAAAATCTTTCAACCGAATCAACCCGCCGCGGAGGTTCCCAAGCAACGGTAGGAAACAAGAAAAGGTGGTTGACAGTCTCACGCACCCAGCGCCTTCGACGTCAGCTGGTCTCGGGGAACTTCTAATTATTATAGACATTATCTCGACGAAAATTATCTTGTAGACAAACACGGATATCACCAGTAATATCCTATTAGTTCAGGTTACCCACTTACCCGGCAGATGTTGCAGAGTTCTACCTAATTGCAACTCATGGTCCGTAAAACAGATTAATGAACTCTGGGACGTTTCAGTTGCAAAGATCAGCGTCGTCCACCTTGTGACACTGCAAACGGTGCTCATTAGTCATTCACCCCACGTTAATCGTCGCTACATGATTTATTAACATTTTCAATCATTTTTAATATCTCCTCGCGGGAAAAAAACAAAGCAGCCATGGCTACGCTTTATATCAAAAGATCTAAACTTTTATGGGACAATTAATCTCCGTCAACAGCTCAGTAGCGGGATTTTTCTTACTGCTGGTCCGATTATCCTGATCACAAGAGCGTTTGTTGTCCAGCAGCGGAACTTCCTCCAGTTTCGCTAAGGTTCTGTCATTAAGAAAGCGAGTTCCGTGGTTGTAGAGAGGAAAAGTCGTTGCGTCCAGACCGCCTGATATTATAGCCACAGGAAAAGGATGAAGAAAAGCAAAAAAAAGAAAATGGGCTTGAGGATGATGAAGAAGGAAGCAGGAAGGTGATGATAAAAAAGGGGAAGAAATAAAACGAAAAATATTTTTTCTTTACCAGGGAATGTCTTCGGGAAACTGTGTGGAAGGAATTTCTAAAAATTAATGTTGCATCAAGCTTAACATATATTTAGCTATATATATATATGTACATATACGTGTGTATATATACATACACACACACACACACACACACACACACACACACACACACACACACACACACACACACACACACACACATATATATATACATATATAAATATATACATATATATATATATATATATATATATATATATATATATATATATATATATATATATATATATATATATATATATATGCATATATATAAACATATATATATATATATATATATATATATATATATATATATATATATATATATATGTATGTATATAAAATTGTTAAACTAAAAACAGCATTTATTTCGAAAAATCGGAATGGTGCAGAAGATAATCGTTGGAGACATGTTATTTCATCTTTCTTTTTTATATCAGTTTTTGCCAAACCCTCAAGTTCGCATTTGCGGTTTCCAGTTGAGCTCCCCATTTTAAAAACGTCTTTTAGGGTCGAGTCTAAATGAAAATAAAAGTCGGACGGCGTTGTGTCAAACTTCTTTTACTTCTTCATTTGCTGAAAAGGCTGCGGCTACAAGCAGTGTGAAATCTGTGATATCTAAAGCGCAAAATGCCAGAGGGCCCTTTGTGATGGCGCCGTTGCCTGGGCGTCGACTCACCAGCCCCGAAATCTTGACGATGTTCCTGACGCCCCGAGACGCCTGGCACAGACGCCGCCTCCTCTCAGACCCCTTGTGCTGCCGTTATCTCGAGGCTGAGGCTCGGTCTTTGAGAAGCAGCAGAGAAAGGGGGGTGGGGGAGGTTATGGCAGGGTGAACACAAGTCGGAATATGAAGACAATTGGGTGTTTTTCGGTCTGTCTGTTATTTTCCAACACCTTTTGTCTAGACTCCTTAGGGATTCCTAAGGGTCAGCACAAAGAATCACTCATCGAGATCAAAAGGGCCTGGGTCACTGACCACGTCCAACGGAACGGTCCTCCAACAGAATAAAAAAAAATCAAAGTTGAATTCACCCCCCAAAAAAATCCGTCTCCATCAACCTTTCTGTCTGAAGGAGGAAGGCGTCTCTATCTTCATCCTGCGTGTCGTGGAGCTCCTTCGAGAGACGTATGAAGTGTTCTGGAGTCACGGCGCGTCGGTCCTCCATTTTCTTCCTGTTTGGACCTTCGATAATTTCATACTCTAATGCCGAGATGTGAAGTCGACGCATGTTAATCAACCCACACATTACTTCCTGTTGTTTTTGTTTCCTACTTTCCTTTCGTAATAATTTGAATCGGCATCTGCGACTGTGACAAATACTGAAAAGGTAGAAATGAGAATGAATAGTTCACTGTAAGTGACGTGTCGGTACAGCATCTCCAACGGAATTATTCATCTTCATTTATACATTTTCGACACCTCTCTCAGCCTCACAGCACCACACAATCACTGCCGCCTCATTAACAGCCCCAATCATCGTAGAGAAAAATGAAAACTGTAACGGATTCTTCGCCACCCAGACGGAGGCGAGACGACACACCACCTTCCTCTGGATAAGTGGGGGAGGAGGAGGAGGCAAAGTTTCATTACAATTAATATAATTCATTTATCTTAATGCGGCCAGATATAAGTACACATAAAGTGTAACGGCAGTAATTATATATTTAACGAATAAACTTTCATTATCAGTCTCACTCTTCTTTATAGCCATCGATCTATTCTAGTCGATAGAGAATCTCGCATTCGAAAAAAAAAAAAAAAATGCAGACGACCGAAGACTTGCCATTACAGCTTTAACGCGAATCTCTTCTTATGAATCTCAGGCTACAGTTATTATTTCCGAGAAAAAATAGGAAATACAGATTTTCTTTTTCTAATGAAATGATAATGACTATGACATAACTACAGGAACATAATTTATTTAATTTCCGCGTGCTTTGGCTACTCGCACACCGTTATCACGATCACAGGAAAACAATTACGTGTTCCGGACGTGTTTTTGATGATCCCGCTCGAGCTACACCATCCGTGAATACTTAATACAGTTAAGCCCTTATGACTTTGACCTTTTAGGACTGACCTTGTCTCTTATGCCTCTTATCCGCGTCACGTGGATGGAGAGGGGTGGGGGTGGGGGGGGAGGGCATTGTAGGGGGCTTGTTACAGGTCAAAAGGTCAAAAGAATAATCACTTCTCTCTGGCATGTCAATCTATTAATCTGTTCCGTTGTCAGATTGCTGTTAGATTAATGAAGAGCCACTTTTACAATAGGCCTTAGTTTGAGATTCTCTCTTGTTCTACATATTGATACTGATAAAGCAAGACATCGAAAATAAGTATTATTACCCACGTGCAACTATCGGCTGTGCAATTCGTCGCAACATATTACATCCCGATAAAGAGCATTTTGAGCTGATCTTCCGCTCCATTGGCTGGCAGTTGATACGAAAGACAACACCCTGTCAATCAAAACGTTATTTTCGAACCAATTAAAGTGTCTTGTTCGAGGTAATACGAATGATTTTATCGCGATGATTTCCGATTTATATTTTTTTCCCGTGTTGCTGTCTCGCCGTCCTGAATGCGACCACAACAAGCAGATATTACGCTTAAAGAGGTTGTTGGAGCACCTTCCATGGATGGGGTTTGTGACCTTTCTCTGCCTGCCTCTCTCTCTCTTTTCCTCCCTCTCTTTCCCTCTCTTTCTTTCTGCGCCTCTCTCCTTGTATGTTTACCTACCTACCTACCTACCTGCTTACCAATCGAACTGTTTATATATTAGTATATGTATACATACATATATACATATATACATACATACATACATACATACATATACATATATATAAATATATATATATATATATATATATATATATATATATATATATATATATATATATGTGTGTGTGTGTGTGTGTGTGTGTGTGTGTGTGTGTGTGTGTGTGTGTGTGTGAGTGAGTGTGTGTATGTGTGTGTGCGTGTGTGTGTGTGTGTGTGTGTGTGTGTGTGTGTGTGTGTGTGTGTGTGTGTGTGTGTGTGTGTGTGTGTGTGTGTGTGTGTGTGTGTGTGTGTATGTATGTATGTGTTTGAATGCACACACACACACACACACACACACACACACACACACACACATATATATATATATGTATATATATATATATATATATATATATATATATTTTTTTATATATATATACATACACACACATGCTGCAAAGGCTTTCCCCTCACACTAAAGCCTCCTTATTCGGATGGTTCTACAGTGCGGTCGCCCTCGCCCCCTAGTCCCGCAGTCGGATTCGATTCCCAAGCAACAAAAGGCTTCCCCGGACGGCTGCCGCAAAGAGAAGCCGTGAACGTATTCCGAGAAACGTTTGAAGACCACCGTAGTCGCTTCTTTCCTCTTCGGAACATTTAACTGCGAAAACGTTAAAAAAAAGGAAATGAACTCTGGCCTTTTCGCTAATTTTACTTCATTCGGAATGTTTGTCAGTTGGAAATAGTCTTGCATGAGTGAAAAAAACTGAAAGGGGAAAAATAGTTATATAAAGGTTTCATATGAAAAATAATTAGAATATAACATTCTCTGTCCCTACGAGGGAGTATGAAGGACAACAAAACGACATGAAATTCCTATTGCATTGTTGCATTTTCTCACGAGATGTAATTGCACTCTCTATCTTCTGTTCCCTTTCTTCAGTCAAACAGAAAGTGACAAGTCAAATGGAAGGTACAATACAGTGAAGAAGATTAGC